GACTGCTGCCCCTGGACTGGCCACAAGCACGAGTGCTCATCATGCTCCTTCCAGGGAGGAGGATTCATATCCCCTGGGGGTATCCATCCCCTTTCCTGTGCCGTTCCAGACCTTTATATTAACTAGCTGTTGCATTTCACCTGCAGAGGAGAGACTGGTTCAGGGGCGCGCTGGGCACAGACTGTTTAACTCCTACTATGTCAGTGTTATTTTTGGTACAGATTAACATAAGCTAGCACTCACCATAGATGTGCAGTGTGAAAAGCCTGGTGAATTGACTTTTATCCGTGTTGACTTGAGCTCTGTAGGACCCCGCGTCCTCCGGCCTCAGGTCAGTGATGTGCAGTGAGAGGCCGGCGTTGGGGACACGCAGGCGGCCCCTATAGCTCCTGTGTGACACAACGACACTCGGGGGATCTCCTGGTATCGCCGTTGCTAGACTCTCTGTGCCAATCATCCAGGAAGCATTATATAATGTCTCCTCTGCCGGGATCTCGAGAAGAAACGTGACCATCTCCCCTGGGGTCCTGACCAGCATTGTTGCGGGGGTGTCTGTGCCTGCTCCAGACGACCCTGCATTTCATGGGGAACAACACGGATTGAGGGCAGCAATCCTGGATCCCTGTGCACGCAGGCATTGCCTTTCCCAGCCCCAGGCACCTCTGCGCACACAGCCTGGAGCTCTGCCTGCTGCCAGGGGCAGGAGGAGGCGCGGGACCCCAAGGCCCGAGACGCAGCCCCACCAGTCTGCCAGGCTCCCAGAGGAGACAATCCAGGATGGAGGCTAGGGCAGGTAGAGAATCCTCAGGGATGCTAGACCCCTTCCTCTGGTTTCATTCAGGTCAGACTCATGAACCAGCTCCACAGGACCCAGGAAGATGCTACACATCCCTGTCCCCCCTCGTATGCCTGGTGCAAAGGGGGCACTTACTTGTGTAGTTGCACAGCGGTTTGACATCAATGGTGGCCATGCCCCAGCTGATGGCATTGCTGACATTGCAGTGATAGAAGGTGTTG